CACTCATACCTGGCTGACACGCCCAACCGTCTAAAATTAGCTAAAGTAAAGCAACACGTCAGCTCCTCTTACGGCCTGATTCTTTACTTTCTCCTCATCAAACGAGAGCTCCAGTTTTCCCTACATAAGCCCACTCTCAGCCCACAATCGTGATTCGCCGCGATGGTGGGCGTCGCACGCGGCATCGCGGCAAACTTTTAGATTGCAAATGACGACAATAGACAATACGTAACAAAAATAGCCATAAATGTCTGTGATCCTGTAGTCTACGTAAGACCAGTGCTCCAGTAGTACGCGAGGATGCGGCAAGCTACGATTGTGTTGGCCAGCTAGTTGACCGGAGGAGGAGCTGATGCAGTGGCAAGTGGCCCGCTTGTGCGTACGGTCCGGCGGGCGAATCGGCTCTCGCCGAAACCAGCTAAGGTTTCTATCCTCCTCGAACGATCAACTGGTACCGAATTTGTCTGAGGGATACAAAACATTGACTTACGCATCGAATAGCCCCACATTTCATTCTATAGAGGCATCACGAATACATTGAACCGCTACGGATAAAAAGATAAAGACCTCTTCTGATTTGTCCCAAAAGGGAAACTATCCCAGGGCACATCATTGGTTGGGGACTCTGGTCGAGTCCGTACGAGTCTCCTTTTTAGGGGGTTGCTACGACCACCTCCCCCTCTAGTTCCCTCCTCATCGAGCTTTCTTCGAATTTCCCACCTAACACCAGTTTTTCCGGAATTTCCCGAAAATTTTCCCGGTTTTCCCCAGAAAATTTTGCCATTTTTCTGTCGAGCCGAGGAGGAGCGGGGGGGGGTAGAGGTATAGTACACATGAGACAGGGAAACCCACGAAAAATCAACAGCCTTCTTGGAAGGCTAGAAGCCAGATACGACCCTCCCAACAACCGAACAAATACGACCCTCCTCTTTATAGGGCCCCTAAAACAAGAAAAATCAACAAATGAGAACGCACCGCCCGCGCTATCAATGGTTTCTAAAATTTTTTAAAAAAAAAATTTAACCTGCGTAAGTTGTCGTCAAAGAACCTATCTGCCACGCTTGCAAGTTGTGAATATTTAGTTTTATGCCATAGGCCAACTCGTATCTAGCATGCCTTATCCTTAGTTTTTCGATGGCACTTTCCATGAGTCGGTCGTTGTGCTTCCGCAAATCATCTGTGAGTGACCATCGGACTTGTTTACATAGCAACGTGTATAGCAGGGGATTCGTGGAGCCATTTGCCAATCCAAACTTCTGCTTTCTTCGCTCTGCCATCAGTGCCCTTGTGCGAGCAGAGACTCGTTCCACTCGCTGCTGAGAAGTTTGAGCCAAGATCATGCAATTTTTAGCCACCTGTAAGAAGCCTTGAAATCCGGAAAACCGCTTTGCTGCGACGCCGGGCCCTGCCATTCCATTTGCAGCTTCTAGTTTCAGCTTGTCGAAGCCCTCTGTCGCCAATCGCTTGCCTTATTTGCGTGGAAATGAGCCAGCGCTTCATTGACATCGCCAAAGTTACTCGCCTCCCCCATACCATCCGCGTGATCCCTACCGACATCTGCATCCAGAAACGCGCTTGTCACATCGCGCCCCGAACAAACTTGGTTGAAGCTTGGGCATAGATACTGTGTCTATTTCAAGTACGTCGGGCGTTCCGCGTTTGGGCTTCTCCATGTCCATTTTCTACCAAACCTTTTCTTGAAGAATGTGTTGGCGACTAAAAGGCCATTTGCGGAGCAGAATGACAGCAGTGTCGTGCCTCTAACGTTTCTTCTACCAGTAGCATGAGGTCCGCATCCAGGCACATGGTTGGGAGAGCGTCCTATGACTGCATTGAAGTCGCCGAAGATTATTTCGGGTACAGCTGGACTTCTAAACGGATGTCGTGCTGCTTCTACCTCGTCAAGGAACTGCTCATACTCTTCATCTGCTGCGGCAGAAGTCGGCGCATGAACTTGAATAATCCTGAGACGTCTCTTTCTTATAAGGAACTCGGCTTGTATTACACGATCGCCTGATGTAACGGATACCGAA